AAACAAGCAAACACACAAACACACAAACAAACAAACAAACAAACAAACAAACAAACAAACAAACACACACACCAAAAAAAAAGAAGGAATAAACAAACACACAACTGAACAGAACACAAACAAACAAAACAATCAACTGAACAGAACACAAACAATCAAAACAACCAAACACATAGAGCAACAAACTATCAAACAAACAATCAAACAAAACAAAACAAACCACAGCAAGCACAAACAACCAGCAAGCAGGCAACCAGGCAGCCAGGCAGCGAGGCAGCGAGGCAGCCCGCCAAACAAGCAAACAAACAAGGAGACAAACAGCCAAACAAACTGGCTGTTGGTCACTAATTATGAGCAACCAAGGTCCTTTGGGCTTTGGAGAATCCCCTTGCAAAGCCAGCGGGTGGATGTATCCTTTCACGACTTCTCTGGAACCCCGACTGCTCCAGTGGGTTCATGCTGTGGATGGACGCAATCCTGCACCACTTTGAATTATGGGCAGCCATTGTTGGATTTCGTCCATCCACAGCTCCGAACCGAAGGCCCGGCCCCAAGGCCGGCTGAAGCAAAACCAAACGCGCCTCTCTGTAGAGGCGGTGCGCGATCAGCTGCCGCCCTGGCAGAAGGCCAGGAAACGTCTGCTGGGGTTTTGAGACCTTTGGTCTGTGATTCTGCCCACCAGACAAAAACCCACCGTGGACGACTGCTGATCGCGGAGAAGAAAAAAAACGTGGATGGAAAAAAACAACCGTCTGGATGTCTGACCTTTGGTCTGGTGGGCTGAAAACAAAGAAAAAAACCGTGGACGACCCGTATATCCTACCATCTATACCCTAGTATCGGTCAGTATCGGTTGCGTATCGGCCCAAATGGTAGCTGGAATTTGGGAAAACCGCCAGAAATTTGGAGTTCGAAGGTCCAGGGTTAGGATGGTTTAAATGGGTTGGAGAAAAAAGACATGGACACCCCTTACATCCTTATACCCTAGTATCGGTCAGCATTGTTTTTTCAGCCCAAATGGCAGCTGGAATTCGGGAAAACAGGGGTCTCCTACAACACCTGGGAATTTAGGTTCAGGGTTGGCTTGGCTTGGGTTGAAAAAGACAAAACAACGTGGACAACCCGTAAACTTTTTCCCTGGTATCGGTCAGTCTCGGTTGTCTCAGTTGTGACCCTGGAAAAAGAAGGGAACCCTTTTTGGGAAGACCATTTTAGTGGGGCCACCAAAAAAAGGCAAAAGAATTGGTGCCACTGAACAACTGAGTTGTGTCGACCTGTTGAGACCTGGGTTAAAGGAAAGCCAGTTGCTTGGCCCCCGCTTCGATCGTCCCACTTTTCTTTTTAGGGGCAGAAATTCGGCGTGTCCTAACTGATAACTTGGTGTTTTCCCTTTACCAACCCCCCCCAAAAAAAAAACGGTGACTCACTATTTGTGGGGTCTTCCGATTTAATTAAGACATGCCCAAAGCCAGAAGCGCATCAAACACATCGACCTTCTGCATCCCATCTGCCTGGATCCAGGACGTCCAAGACCTTGTCTGCGTACACCGCCGCGGAGGCAGTAAAGACTATGACCTTGGACCCACGTCGGACATTCAGAACGCGCTGGCCGGCTCGCACTGGCCATATTTTTGAGGAACGATCACACCTCAACAACCCGTCGTAACTGCTAAAGTTGGAGTCAACAACCGCGGGTGGTTTAGACTGGGCGTTTGGTGGCTTGGTGGGTCTTTGCTTGGTGTTTGTCCCATTTTTTCTGGGTGGTTTTGCTTGGGTTCGGCTTCCTTTCCCTGCCTCGGGCCGCTTTCGGCGTTGCTTCCAAGGCAGCCCCGACAAAAACACCACATCCAGGACTGTGCGTGATTTCCACGGGAACCCTTGGCTCAGGTTGAAAGTAATGCTGACGCCGAGTCTAAGTAGACTCCGTCCCATGACTAGGGGGGTGGGGGCTCCAATTTCGTCTGACACCAAAAGTCTGAACTTGTTATTTACCACTAAAACGATCTTCCCAAAAAGTAACTAAAGTCTAGGAACTCAGGGGCCCATCAGGGCATCCCGTTTTGGTGGGAAGCATCCGCGTGTTTCTTTCAACCGCTGGTTCGTCATGTGGGCGGATGCGTGGCGTTCTGGAAAAAAAAGATGCCTGGGACAAATGGGGATGTTACCGTGTCACGGAATCCCCCACGGGAACAAAGACTCGTTCCTTCCATTTGGTTAAGACTCCTGCACAAACTAAAAAATATGTCCAGTAGTGATCAACTCCTTTTAAAACCCACAAGGGGAAAAAGAAACCTACTCTTAAGCAAATGGAAGGTCGGAGGGGCTTGAAATGCGTTGCGTGGTTTCCCTTTAACTTGGTGCTGAGGGAATGAAGAAACGACCCCTGTATTCCATCTTGTGGATTTCAGGTTCATTCCCAAAGCCCCGGTTGCCCAGTCTACTGAGAAGCGGCTGGCCCGGCCGCTCTGCTTGGATTGAAAGGGAAGCCTTTCCCCATGGAAAGGGAACAGAAACACAGGTGAGGGGTGTCACTTTGTCAGGAGTCGGACCCCCGAAATGGTGGTTTGCCTCATATTCGGGGCACCCTCAAAAACAGACACACCCATATAGCCTGAATTCTTTGTTGGTAGATACTTGTAGTTGATCAATGTTGATCCACTGACAACCCACCGAGCAAGGGCATAGAAACGTCAAGGGGATTCGGTTTACCTCAGGCGGCATGTGGGTCGCTTTTTCTCCCTGCTTGACCCGCGGCCGGTTCACCCGAGCCGCTAAGGCCTGCCCAGGACAAAACAAAGCACGGCTGCACCTTCGGCCAAAAGAATCGCCCCATGGCGAAGTCGTCAAAACAACTTGTTGAAAATCAGAAGCTGCAGCACTGAGCTAGGTCCGTCTCCTCCAAATCTCCCGGCTTGGAAATCAACCTGCGGCGTCCTAAGTGTCAAAGCTTCAACATGTTTGACCACCTTCAACGTAGTCAACAAGGTTAAACAGCAGGAACGTTGGGCTCTGATGACACGCGTTCTTCATGTCACAAAGCTGGTCCTCCCATGGGAGAAGTCTACAAAGGGTCGTCAAAACAAACACCCAAAAGAGTCAAAAGAGCGAGCCTCGTCCTTCCATGTCCTACAAACCTGCCGGATCTCCTGGGCTCCCTTAGAATGACTTTTTGAAGGCGGAAAAACACTTTGGAGACCCTCAGCTCCCTTCCGGCCTTTGAGCCTTAACCAACCGCTCGCCGTTCGTCGCAAGGCGATCGATCCAAAGGCACCGGATTCAGAGGAGTCGGTTCGATCGCTTGGATCGATCCCGGCCGCCAGAACTCTCATTGGAGTCACTTTGGGTCCAGAAACTGATCTCCAGGTCAAACTCGGGGGGGGATGCTGGGGAAAAAAGCCTCAAAAGCCCCATGTTGGACGGTTTTTCATTTACGGATGTTTAAGCCCTTCACCAAAAAAACACACACAAGTAGACCACCGGGGAAAGTGTGTGTGTGGGCCTTTTGGAGGTGGAAATGGGAGAATGTGAGCCATTGTTTGCCAAAACGACAACTGCAAACTGATTAACGGGAGCTATGCAACCATGGCAAAATGGCGGGAGAAGCTCAGACAAAGCCCCCCCCCCCGCCGGCCCAACCAAAAACTGATGAGGTTGGTATTTGTTTCTCTTTTTTCTTTTCGTTTAACGCCAAAACGAAACCAACCAGTTCAAGAGACCCCCGTTTTGGGAAACGCCCATGTTCAGGTTGCCGGAGCATGAGCGCAAAACATCCCGGCCGGATCCGAAGATCACTTTGAACAACAAAGCAGAGAGGGCAGAATCAAGAAACCCGTTCCCAAATGGTGTTCAGGAAATCTGTCCAACCCTTGGTATGATAGAAAAACATAATGTGTTCTTTGCAGCCCTCGAAACATCAACACAACCAAAAAGCCTGATTGCATAAACACATGATCCACAACAGTGAAGATTGGCCTAGGATATGCCAAATGAAGGAACAAACATCTGGCCTTGCCAAAATGGTTTGCCGGCCAATCCGCATCCATCCGGGAAACCACTGCAATCTTCAAGGATAAATTAAGGATAGCCATTGAACAGACGGAGAACGCACCTTAAGCCCAAGAGGCAATAAGAAGGTCAGCAACCACTTCTTGTGTCAAGATGGCAAAGCGAAGCAGCTGGAGTTGAGAGACGGTCCCTTTGGCTCCTTTTCCAGCTATCAGCTTGAAACTCAGGAGTATAGAGAAGTTCAATGTCCGTGCTGGTGCGATAAGTAGGGAATGACCCAGTCCGGGTGTTTGTGAATGAACCGTTTGGGGTTCCCCTAAATGGAAACCCAAACAGATGTCATTCCAATTCTCTGCCTACCGAACGCAGCAAATAATGGAAGCGCTTCCCCCGGATCTCACTAGGTTGACTTTGCAACATGGGCAGGCCCACTTTTAGTTGAAATGCATCACCTGCCTGGAGGGCTCCCCATCTCCCTACAGGACGGGGTCTACTTAGATCTGGGGTCAACATGATCCCGCTCGAAGTTTGGCTTCAAAAGCTTCCATTTGCTTAAGCCCCCTGGAAAAAATCTAAAACACATCCAGTAGTGATAGATTCCCTTTAAAACCAACAAGGTGTTCTGAATGTTGTTTTTTGATTTAACACATTCAGTTCAGCAAATGGAAGAAAGTGAGGAGTTCTGGCTCAACTGGAATGACACCAACGGCTTGCGAACGGCGCACTGCACACGGCCGACTTGGTGCAACACGTTGCCGCCGTACGCCCAGGCCTTCTATTTTCGCACGCTCTGCAGATTAACGTGCAACCCAAGCAGCCGGCTTAGAGGAATCTCTTTTAGCAGCTTGTTGCTGGGGCCCCTTATTGGATTACATACAGGAAACAAGGTACAAGAAACAAAACAAGCAACATGGCCTTAGCCACATTGAACCGCAAAAAAAGAAGCAAACCACGAACCGGTTTTAAGCATATTGAAACCGCAACAAACATGTGTTTAACCAGACACTGTTCCGAACTCAACCGAGTCAGATCGCTCACTTCTGGGGCTCCTGAAAGTAGATGGCTTCGCAAAATTGGTCCACCACCTCGCGGAGTGGGAAGTCGCGAAGAAACCTTCACTGGGCGTGGCCCGTTTTCGGATCCGGGCCCCGCGAAAAGTGACGAATTTTTAGTGGGTTCAATGGAAACTACCACTAAAATCCACTAAAAGCTAAAAGGCTAAGGACCCGGATGGCACCAAGTTCACGGTTGGCTACGTTTTCTTGTTCAGGGGAATCTGTTGCCCCCTTTGGTGAGAAAATTGGCGACCCCAACACAACAAGGAATGCTTCATTACAAAGGGGTCGATCATTTTTCCACCAAAGGTGGCAAAAAGAGCCCCCTGTTCTTGTTTTTGTTTGGTATTTGTGTTCTCTTTTTTTGGTAGGGTCAAGGCTGCAAAACAACAGGCAAAACTGGGAAGTTTGTCTTGCATGTTTCTAGGTTTTAAGGTGTTGGGCCCTCTTCATGTTCAGGGGCATGCAAAACAAAACATATTTTACTACCATACCAAGAGTTGGAAAGAACCCCAGAACAATGGTGTCCAAGCCAGGCCGGCTTGCCAAGTAATTATTTTACATCCAGTGGATGCCATGTCTCCTAGACACATAAGCTTCGGGCCCCTTATGGCCCCAAACAGACATAAGGGGTCTGAAAAGTATTGGCGGGGATGACGTGTGTTTTTCAAATTACTCCCGTGCCCCCAGTCAAAGGATTTGGGCCATTCTCACTTTTCGCGGGGATTGGCCCAACAAAGTCCCAACTTTTTGCTTGCCATCATCTGGGTCCTCCAGTAGAGAGGTTAGAATAAGGGTACCCTTTTTTCTGCAGTCTACTTTAGTAGGGGAACCCTCCCCCCCAAAAAAAGGTAAAAGGGCACTACTGGGGGACCTAGTTAAGCAATTCACCCCGCCCCTAGTTGGTTTGGTGGTTTGGACCTGGGGTGCAAGCACCTTGCACCCCACTTCAAAGGAACCGGGCTGCGGCTCAAACCCCCCAGCCGTGTCCGTTCAAAAGGAAAGACCTTCCACTGCAGTCACGTTCCATGTGGAATGGCCCTTTTCAAGAAGTGGACTCCTGTTTGGTTGAGCGATTCCAGGTTTAGTGGTAGACATGCAAAAACGTGCGGCTTGACCAACTACTTGGGTGTTCGCGCACGCGTCAGTAAGTTGTTGCTAACCTAGGTGGTAACTCGCTCATAAGTCCCCGCACTAATAGACTAACTTGGCAGAACACCCCAGAAGGGTACAGGGCAGGGTCACAATTCGGGTGTCTAGTTGTGTGTCCTCTTGGTTTGAACCCGCAGGTAATATTCGAAATTTCTCCCCTCGCTCGGTTAAAGGGCAAAGCCCTGGCCTGACAAGCCTAAAGGGCTTCTTGCCAACCCAAGTGGTATGGTCGTAGCAATGTAAAAAGTAAAAAGCCGACTGTTTCTTGCCGCCCCCTAACATGAACACAGCCAAAGAACCTCAAAACCTAGAAACAACAGTGGGCTAATTTGGGTCCAGTCACTGGACAGCAGGCATCAAACTCCTTGACAAATTCTCAAAGAACATGCTTTTAAGGCAAAAACCCGATGACCTGAGAAACGGCAAAACCCCATCCACGCGGATGTCAGGAGCCCGGGGCCTAGCCGCCCGAAAGAGTCCAGAGGTGTGACTGCCTAGAAACCAAAGGCCTGGGTTCGTAGCTTCTCATCACGTTCCCTTTGGGACTTCCAGCGTCCCCAGAATCACGGGGGCTTCCAGCGTCCATCGTTCAGAAGAGCCTCACTCTTCCGCCGAGAGCGAAATTTTCGTGAGGTTGGTCTGAAAAAGTCCGGAGCTTCTTTGTCATTGAATTAGTCTTCCCCAAAAGTGTTCAAAGTCCAGAAACTGGCGGAGTGAACTTTATTTGCCCTTTTGGCTTTCAACCAGGGGTCTCAGCCTGGCTTTTGGAGAATGACGTTCGCACTTCGTGAGTGGATGGGCCCAACAAAAGCAACCCTTTTTTCCCGATAAAACTTGGAATGAACCGGTCTTCCCACAAGGCCTAAAGTCCAGGAACTCAGAAAGTTCGTGGTTGAAACAAAGGCCCAACCCTTGGTTGACGTTGGAAGGGGAGCAACAATTGAAATGCTAGCAGCTAGGTGGAATTGGATTTCAACCACTAAACCACAAAAAGCAAAAACAAAAAACAAAAAACGTTTCCCAACGCAGCCATGAACCCCGCCGTTGGCTTCCCCCGTCGTCGGATCCCAGTTCGGGGCTTCCCGCCGTCTTGTCCGCGAAGGCTCGCATGGCTGCCTTTCCGAGGCTCGGGAAAGGACTCCACAGGAAGGAGCCGGAAGGCGGAACCGGTGCGCCGGATTTTTTTTATTAAATAAATATATATATATATATTTAAAGAAACAAACAAGAAAACAAGAAGGAGAAAAAAACAAAAACGAGAGGATAATGATGAGGGTGTCCTACAATGTAGTTCCCTCACAATGTAGTTGGGTGTCCTACACCAAAACGGTCTAATCCGTAAACCGCGCAATCCGTAATCCGCTAATCATTGGGAATTGGGTTGGGACAGGTTAGATGAAGATCTTATGATCACAAAAAAAGTAATCATCATTATCATATCGTTGAAGATCATTGTACTTTATTTCTGATGATCGAATGATTAATCATGATGAACCAACAATATGAACCTACTTGAAGAGCTTCTACTCGGCATTGCTGAAGCGCTGCTCATAGAACTCAGGTGGTCGTTCGTCAAAAAACTTGGGCCCGAAACGCGAAATCTCCATGGCTTGGTTGCTGTTGACTCTGCAAAAAGCTGAAGGGAGACCAAAGAGGAAACCCACCAAAGGTCTGCCCCGTTGACTCACTTCCGACCAAGTGGATTGCCCAAACAAAGTAATCAATCTGTTCAAGTGTACCACCAAGCTGGCCTTCTCAAAAGTTGTTTTTCGTGAACTCAGGAAGTCAGTTGCGAAACACCTATTTCGGGCGATGAACGCAATTTGCTTCTGTCCATGGCGCTCTTTTTGGAAAAAAGGTCCCGAATTGCGATGGATGAGGCTTGAAAGTAACTTGTTTCGAGACCCCACTCAGCACTAGGGAACCCTGGATCGGAGTCTTTGGGCAAAACTCACCAGATTTGTGGGGGCCGCACCAAGAATAGAAGCACCGAACATGTTGGGCGCACAGCTTTTGCGATTGGGGGTCCGGGACCCTGGCAACCTGGAAGCAGCACCCTCTAAACTGGAAGCCCTGAGCCTCGCCTACGTTCAGAGTGTGGCGTTGAGGGGCTCCAAGTTGGAGGCGGGTTGCCGCCATGGGCCCAAATTCAACCGCAGAATCTGTGAACAATCAGGCCGTAGCAAATTCACCCTACTCACTTGCTGAGTGGATGGCCCAAAAAAAGCTCAAACTTTTTACCGCGAAAATGGTCCAAAGACCCCCAAAAGTTTGAAGCTCAGGAACTGAGGAAGTCTAAGGCCTAAGGCCTAGGGGCGGTCTGTTGGCGCAGATCAACTTGCGTCCGAAGTTTTGGAGCACTGCCGTATATTCACCAACGGGATCCAACGAATTATTCAGTACTCTGCCAAGGGGGTCTGGAACGGCAAACCCGGATCCAACAGCGAGCTCCCTTGATTTACACATATCTGCCCACAAATGACCTTCAGGAGACAAGTGAGGAGGGTTCTACCAAAATGGTCACAAAGGTTGATGTGGATGGACGAGATCCATTTTCCACCACTTCGAAACCATGGTTGAAACCATTGCTGGTTGGTATCTGCAGGGGGGTCGAATCAGACACCAGGGTTTCTGAACGGTGGTGCCGTTCAAGCGGATTTCCATCAGCCCAAAGGACCTTGTGGCACCTCTACGTGGACCAAAACTGGCTTTGAAACTAAGTAAACCCTGTGAAGCTAGGTAGGGCCACCTCAAATGGTCCATGGGGTTAAAGCCTCACGGGACCCGAGCCGACTCCCTTCAGCTCACTCCAAACGAAACTCACTCTGAAGTAACTTGCAAACCAACCCACCAACCCACCCACCCGCCCACCCACCCACCCACCTGACGCAACCAACCAACCAACCCACCCACAATCACTCCACCGTTTTGGGATGACCACGGATAAGCGGGCGAGAGAGGAGGGCGGGGGGATTAGGGTTCTCGTCGCTCCTTGAGGTTGATATGCACCCTCCAAAAAACGAAAGCACGGAACGACCACGGTTCCTGTGAGAGAAACGTGTTCTTCCAGGCCCCGACTATGCAGGTGAAATGCGGGACAAGCTGCCCTGGTGTCTGGTGCCAGTTGAATGATGACTGATCTGGGATGCACTTCCCCTATAGAGGTCGAAGCTTGCTCCTTTCTTGGATTGAAAAGCCATCGGTCCCAGGTGCAAACGCTTCCAACCTCCTGCTCTGTTTTCCCTTATCGCTCCAACGCCTCCCATGGTGCCCCCCAAAACAAGCCCTTCGGTCCAAAATGTCGCAAAACAGCCCATTTGGAGGGCCCAAAAACAATCGGGAGCCTTACATTCGGTGCAAAATGGGTGGGGGGGGGGGGGCTCATTTGGTCGCACCAAAGACGTGCTTCGGCTCCCGCCTGCGGGTCCCCTCCCCTGGCCACCGGCGAACAAAACTCGGAGGCCTCGGCATTCTCTGAGGCCTCCGGCTCGACCTGGCGCTGCGCGATTCGGGCGAGGCCTGTGGAGCCGGAAGGTCCGTTGAAACCTGGGGTGAAGCTTAGGTCCGTTGAAACATGAGAACCTGAGGGAAACTCAGAACCTAAAGGAAGCGGAAAAAAAAAACAACCGACTGGGTTGTAAGTTAGAACCACGATGTTCCAAACTGAACCGAGTCTGAAAGGGCGACTGGAGCGCAGGTCTATGGGACGTGAAAGGCAAGTCTACAAAGAAGGAAGGGGCGGCCAAAAGAGCCCATGAAGTGACCCTTTGGTGGGAAACTGTGCCCTCCAGGGCGCAGAAACAACTGGTTTGAACTGCTCCAAACTGAACCGAGTCTGAAAGGTGTGGGTTGACTTTCACAGGGGAAGAGTTACCTATGGTCAGAACTGGGGCCCTAAATGGAGTATTGATCAACCCCCGGATCTCCGCGCCAAGGACCCAAACCTTGCACCTTGCCCCAACCTGTCCGTCAGGAAGTGGAACCCCTTTTGGTTGGTTGCTTTTTCTCGGTGAAAGAATTGAACCCCCTTTGGTTGGTTCTGTCTTTCGTGTCCAGAAAACACGCTGCATATGTAACGCCCACCGCCTCAAAGCTGTGCTCAAATGAGCTCCCGGGCCCTGCAATGACGAACCTGGACCCTTCAAGGGCCCTTGAAAACAGCCCAATTTGAGGGCCCAAATAAAGTTGGGAGATGTTGGGAGCCTTCGGGAAAATTCACGGGGGTGCTCTTTGTGCGATCTGCAAAGAGTCTAAGACAGGCCGACCAAAGCGTCAACAACTTTCGTTTGCAGGCACGTACTTTGTCGCCGGTGCACTCGTAGACAAAATGCTGGTCCCAGAAAACAACCTATCCTGTTCCCTTCCAAAACTTGTCGTTTTGCCCGAAAAGAGGGACACCCCCCCAAAATCCACGGCTTCAGGGTTCCCGGGAGCAAACAAAAAGTTCAAGGGACACTCTTCATGGGACGTCTCTGGCCCGATTTCCCCAAATCAAAAGTTGATCAATGAATTGCCTGGTGGCCTCCCTTGAAACGATCGATTTCCACTTTATGCGGCAACAACAACTCAGTTGCCCCTTTCAAAACCTGGGAATAAAAGGTGATCACGTTTTGGGACCTCCACCAAGAAATTGGGACCTCTACAAAAATATGGGACCTCTACCAACGAAATGGGACACCACATTGACCTCGATTCATCCGGCCGCTTCGCTTTCCGGCCCCGCCGTTCTCTGAAGCCGAGCGCTCGCCTCCAGCAGCTCCCGGCCCAGGGCCATGCAGCCGCCGAAGAGCAGCGCCAGCTTCACGGAGCCGGCCTCGCGGCAGGGACGTGGGGTGGGGACGTGGGGTGGCAAGGGGTGGCCAACTAGGGTTGGAGTTGGGGGGTAGGGGTTGGGGGGGGTGTAGGGCTTGGGGGGTTTGCTGGGAGGGGGGGTTGGTGGTTGTTGTTGGTTCTTTGGCTGTAAGAAACGTTGGAAGCCGTCCAGGTTGAAGATGAGCAGACCGCAACCATGCCATGGCGTCTGAATGAGTATCTGGGTGGCAAAGTAAGCCCAGAATTCACTAAGACCACGTTTCATCACTGCTGCCTTTTGGGAAGCACCAAACCTGGATGCCCAAAATACATCCCCAACAGGGCAAAACGCAAACACACTGCACCTTTTATTCCAACCCTGGGATTTGCATTGAAAACCAAACAAATAAGGACCAACACACAACAACTGAAAGGTCCACCGACCCGGTCGATTCGCGGCCAGTCCGATTCGACGACTCGACGACGTTCGCTGGACTGGCCTTCAGGCCGGCAGCCTGCCAAGAAAAGGAGGGCTTGGGAGACTAAGCCCAGCAGTTTTTTCGTGAATCCGAAACCAAAAGGGGGGCTCGTCTTTTTGTTTGCCACAAGGAAACCAACCAGTGCAAGGGTTCCTCATGAGACGATCCCAAAACATCCATGCTTCGAGGAAGTGTCAGATTAATTGTTTTTGGGAGTCTTGTTTACGGTTTGGTTGGTTCATGTTGAACATAACTCTCTTACAGGTTGACATGGAACCCCAAACAACCCATCCATGAACAGAGGAGCCTTGCTTTGGGGTAATCCTCCTGCCAAAGTCCTGTGTTCAATACAAAAATGATGCTGCTCCCCTTCTCGCAGGACACCCATTGTTGCTTGTTGTACGCGCGACAGGTTTGATAGAAACGGGGCCTTAAGCTGAAATGTTCTGAAAGGAAGATACCAGCCGCATCCAGCTGGCGTTTCTAAGGAGAATCACCGGTGGGATTCAGGCGTCGCCGGTGGCTCGGAGGATCCCGGGGCAACAGCTGGTCAGAAGTCGACGCTGCGCTGGGCGCGTGAGTACCCGTCATAGGACATGCCTTGTTCATACTTCATGCCTCAACTGTTGGCATGTTTATGTCGTAGTTTAGATGGTTTGCTCATGCCAAGGGGTGAGCAAAGTTCGGATGTGAAGCCGCTGGGCCGCGGAGAATGGCATGTACGGTGAACTAAGGTTTAACTAGCAGGCTCTGGCCCCCTTGGAAGGAAAACCGAATGAGTCAATGCGGTTGTGTCGTGTAACATGTCTGGGCCAATCGGGGGCACATTTAAGTCGGGTTTGTTTTGAGGGTAGTTTTCTCGTGACGCTTCTTCGACCTTCCTTTTTTTTTTGTTCACCTTCCTGCTGAGTTGTTGTCATTTTTGTTGGGGGGGGGGGGTAATGAGAAAGGCACCGTTGGGCTCAGATGCCCAGTTGCCATGGAAAAAAAAGGCATCCTTTCTGAGAACCCTTCCCCCAAAAAAAAGGAGAGAAAAGGAGAACCAATTGAGCCCCAAAAATGTAACTTACATTTTTGACCCCCCCCCCCCCAAATCGAGGCTTAAGGGGGTGGTGGCGGAAAATCCACCTGGCCATGTGGGGCGTCCCTGCGCGTGCCATGCGCACGCGCCTGCCCCCTGGTGGCCGCGAGCTCCTCTGGCAACCGCTCCGCCGCCGCGGCGGTCACTGCCCTGGCGCGGCGAATCGCGCATCGAGAGATCGATTCCGGGCCTCCGCTGGCGCCGCGAAAAACAACACGTCACCTCCATTTGCTTTTTGGTCCCCGGGAAAAATAAAAAATATGTCCAGTAGCAAAATCGATTCCCTTTAAAACCAATAGGGGTAATAGATATATATACCCAGTACTTCTAAGACGTTAGTAAACTATGTCTTTCCGGAAAGTCGGTGTTTCCCTCAAAAGACCATGTTTACCCGTGAAATGGGCGTGAACGGGGAAATCGTGCGTTGGAGCCTCTTTTTGTTTGAGTTGGGCTCAGAGTTTCATGTACTATGATCGGCCGAGTTGCATGCACGCATATGACATCATCATGTAGCATGCACATGCATGCAGGCATGCATGCCATGCAAGAACTTGTCTGGGTGGTTCATTCGATCGATTCGTCATACGCCATGTGTCGACATGGTGCTGGCCTACATGATGCAGATCGATATGCGCCAGCGTCTGAGCATTTGCACGCATGCATGCATATGTCCTGCATGCAAGCTAGCAAGAAGTTGGCATGCGTCACTGCTGGTAAGGCTGCATCATTGTCAATGAAGAAGGCATTGCGGAAACGCCGGGCACTTGGGGAGTTGTGCGTGCAAGGAGTGGCAAAAGTAAATCGTGTACGGGTTTCCCTATGTTTTACTTTACGGTCCCTGCTGCACGCATGCACCGGCCCGAGGCGTTTTGGATGCGGACCAGCCGTTCAAGTTCTGCGAAGGTGCCACCGCCTTGCCCTATGTCGATCGGTTTTGTTTTGGGGGGGACTAATTCAGAATTGTGAGATCCCTAAAAAAGTCACACCCGTTGCTGCATCGACACATGAGCTAGTACATACGTGCATGCATGCACGCGGCCATGATTTGATTTTGTCACACACATCATGCATGCTTGATGCATCAACGATGGCTCACCCGGGCCATTTAAGAATTCGATGCATGCATGTGGATAATCACGGAGACTCAAGATCTAATAAGATCGATCGATCGAGCTAGGTCAGATCGAGATAGACATGACATATTTCAACTCTGCAATACTCTGCAGTATCTAGATCGACATCGTCGACACATCGGCCGGCCGGCACGGCCCTTTTTCCGCAATGCCGCGAGTGAAGCCATGCCTGCGCCGCATCGAGTTGCTCCAGGCACGACTCAATTCGATCCATGGTACGTACGTCTGACATTCGTGCATGCACACGCTATACACGTTACATGTTTTTGCATGCAACTGACCCCCGAAGTGAAAATAAGAAGGATCGAGTTTTGATCGTGGCACAGGATGGGTTAAGCCTGAAAACGTGAACCCAACGCGATGGTTTTCAAGACCAAAGGGCAACCTACCTGAGGAAGGGGACCCTCTTGCTTGGCTTCATGTTCAAACAGCTCGGTTCGGATTCGGGCAGGAGTTCTACATGAACAGGCTCAACGAAGACTGCTTCAGGGAGAAGAGATTCTATGCCCTAGGCCGGCAAGCTGGATTGGCAGACAGCCGCATCAAACGGCTGCTTTCGGAAAATCGGGTATCTCAGTTGAACGAATCCCATATTAAGCATGCGTTGCAATTTGTGTCATGAGCCTTTTTTTTCCATGTGAAACAGTGTGGTCATGGCTTGTGTGTGCACGTGTGCGAGTCTGGGTTCCGGTTAGATCATGTCCTAGGTACCGTGCTCATTTTCCTTTGTCAACATCGCGACTGACAAGATTGGAGAAGCAGAGGCGCAAGCAGTCTAGTCGGCGTGCGTGCATGCTTGATAAGCTGCGAGATTTTGCGGATCTTTCGATCTCCGCATTCAGCATCGTGCGTGCGTGCGCAGGTGGAGGACGAGGGCAATTTTGAATGGAGCCAGAAATGGCTCAAATCTTTCGCTGCAGATGTCCCGACCGAAAATGAGTGCAAGGCGTGTCAGTTTTGTGGATCGTTGTTTGAATGCGCTATGTATTACCCTGCAAAGCGCGTTCGCTTGCGTGCTGGGCAGGCTGCATTGATCGCGGTCGGCCTTGATCAACGCCTGGTGAACGCAACCAGCAAGAACGACCCGATGTTGGTGGACCGCTTTGCATTTTTTTCTGTTCGATCAATGTACTAGCTTGAATTCGAAAATGTGTTTGCGCTTCAGACATTCTTTGCGTTCATGAATGCTGTCGATAGCGAGTCGCGCAGGAGTGGGCAACGACGGAGGGTAACCTCCACCGTGCCCTGGCGAGCTACATCGTGACGCGGGTTGGGCGAACCTTGAACACCAGGAGCCCATGAGCATTGTGCTGTCTCTAGAGCCTGCATGCATGCATGCGTGATTCTGGAGGAGTGGTCACTCGCGCATGGCGGAGCTCAAGCAGTTGGTGGTTCAGGTCTTTAAGGAGTGCGCTATGGCTATATCAAATGCAATGGGTTATGTACGATGTGGCGCTGAGCACTGCATGCTGCATGCAAGCACGCACGCGCGCAGGAGAATGGAATCCTGAGAAGGAGCAAGTCCATCAGGAAGCCAATCGTGATTGCAGGCTGGTAGTAGTACGGCGCATGTGGCGACATTCATGCAAATTTATTTCAAGCGTGCGTGCGGTGTTCATCGTGGCTTGAGCCCATGAAATTGCATTGCATGTTGAAACGCTAACGCGCTTCCCGGTGGCAGGTGAGGAGGAGAATGCTTCGGAAGAAATTGAGGAAATTGAGGAGGTAATAATTGAAGAGGAGGAGGAGGAAGAATGTTTTTCCGATGATGGGGTGGTTGAACCTGTGCCCCAGACACCGCAAGCCAGCAGCCCAGCCCTCGACACGCACGAGCCAGTTGCTGCAACAACACAACCTGCGATGCAGCCCACCGCGCATGATGAGCCTCCCAGCCATAGCGAAGCGGCCCCGAACGAAGTGCGTTTGCCTGCCCATGCAGACCCCGAGCCTGTGCAGTTGTTGCCACCCCGTGACCCTGCTGATTCGCACGCGCCCATGCCCACGCAGGAAACGGAGCCTAGCCAGCCAGCAAGCCAATTTACTGAGAATGAGATTCAGCTTCTGCGAGGGACTACGTTAAGCCTTGGCGACGAGTGGAACGCAGAGCTTGAAGAGGTGAGAAAAAACAGAACTGTGGGCCCAGAACTGGAGACCGTTCCCAATGCAACTCATCTGCCAGCCAGCCTTGAAACCCCTACGCGCTGGAGTGGGTGGGAAAAGTATAAAGTTCAATGGCCAAAGCCGGCCGAGGCAACACCGTCATCATCAGGAATCAGATGCCCTGATGATGACGAGACTCAAAATCACAGCGACCAAGATGAGCCATCAACGACAAAGGGAACTTTCAAGGAGCCTTGCACGCTAATGCTGTGTGCACGTGCGCGCGTTGTGCACTATTATGACGCTTATGTGCACGCATGCACATGTGCTGTGATGTGTTGTGTGTGCGCACCTGCCCCAGGATCGCAAGCCTTTAATTGCTGAAGTTCCAGAACTCCCGGCGGACACCAACGAGGAGGACCTTGAAGGTTTTGAACACATCCTTCAGGCGCCCGTTGCAATTCTCTTTGAACCAAGTGGAACCGAAAAATGTCATTGAACAATGTCTTCGAAATGCCGGCTGTTGCATGGATCAGCAAGCGTCAGTTGACGTGTGTGCGGGGTCATTCATAATCTCTATCCTATAAACCTGACAGGCGCAAAAGACTATGCGGGCTGCAATCAGGAAGCGCGGGGATGAGAGCGAGCCCTTTGAGAAGGCATTGGAGCGGGAGGACTCAGAAATGAAAACAGAGCGTGAGCTTGAAGCAGAGCAAGAAGCAAAAAACAAACCGGTGAGAGGTCGCGGTAGGGGGAGCAGAGGTGGCAAGGGCAGCAGAGGTGGTGGCCGGGGTGGCCGGGGTAGCCGGGGTGGCCGGGGTGGCCGCGGTGGTCGGGGGAAGTCCAAGCCCATTGCGAGCAACAGCGAAAACCCTGAAGCTGAGCAGTCCGAAGCGGTTAACATGCCGAACGAAACAGTGCCGCAGCCAGCCAGCAGCAGTGAGCCCCCCAAGCCAACACCGAAAGCTGGAGGAAGAAAAAGGAAGCAGGGTGGTACTCAGGCAGGGTGTTGTCGTTGCGCAAGGTTTCAAAAAGAGGCCTGATCGGTTTTTATGACCATGACCCTTTCCAATTTGTTGGTTACCCCCCACCCCCAAAGAACAGATGTCACACATTTTCGATAAATTGCTTGGACCGAGTAGCAGGATAAAAGCTGATTCCGGGCCGCACTCCCCCCCTAGCCTCTGCTCAGGAACCACAAGAAGCGCAGGCGCCTGAAAAGAAAAAACGCCAGTGGCTTTCGGAAGAAACGCGTGAAAAAAACCTCAACCTGGTGCTGGACCTGAAAAAGAGAAGGCTTGATCTGTATGTCCCTGATGACGTGTCTACCTGCCAGCCCCTTGATTAAGTTTGAACATTGCTGGGAATCATGCATATCAGGGTTTGGCTCTGGAGTTAGAATTCCAACACCCAGGTCATGGACGCAAAGGGTGCCAGACTATGTGTGCCCAAAGCCGGGAAGCAAAGCATCCACCATTGGCATTTTGTTACCAGACCCAAATTATATCATGTATATTTCTGTCATTTTCTGACTTTGCCCGGTTGCCGAAAACTTGGTGGCCATGAGGCTGGTGGGGTCGTTCTACTTGGCCCACGCTGACGTGGAGAGGTTGGACTCGTACAACGAGACGGCTATGGCGCGCAAGCTACCGATGCTGCAGGCTGGGTATATCTCGATCGGTCTTTCAAACATCACACCCCTCCCCTTTTCATATTTTCCATCCCCCAATATCGGTCATGGTGAAAGGTTGGAATTTGCTCACCAGAAAAAAAGGGCCACCACAGCCGTTGTGGTGGCTCTTTTGTGCTGTCCCTCTAGCTGGATGGGTACATCGTGTATGGTACGTCCCAAGCCCTGGCTGACCATCCAAGATCCGCAAAAATAGATTTGGTTTGACCCTGCAATTTCAGGAGCCT